TGACTCCGCCCTCCTTCAGCCGATACGCGCATATGGCGAAGTGCGCACGCACCCTTCAATCGACCATTTTTGAGTCAAATAACCGTGTATCAAGTGCGTGTAAGATCGCTCGTTGAGAAAAAAATGTCTTCTCATGGGACAAGTGGAGGTGTTGCTCACAGCTGATCGATCTTTTCCTTTCAGAGGATCGGTTATGCAGAAGTAGATGTGGATTTAAAGTGACAGCTTTTGCGATCGAGGATAGTAGGGTTGGGCCGGGCGACCTCGAGCGATTATAAGGTCTTGGACCCTCCAATCATGCCCCTACTCTTGGGTCCCGGGCCTTGGGAGTCTCCTGGGCCTCATTTTGTCCTCGACTCAACATAAAGTTAAATTTCGCGAGAAGGACAATAAATAAGCAAAAATTTTGTTTAAATGAAGAATGTTGTGACGGAAGCTGCCGTAGGCAATAACTTTTATTATTTACTTTGGCTAGGTTGTTCACTTGGACTGTGATACCTGGAAAAGAATAAGTCAATGATCAACCTTTTCTCGTTATACGCAAATTTCGCTGGGCTCTTAATTTCTACTTGACTCGTAATTGATGAGCTGTAGCAAAATGATCCATCGATATATGTTCCAGATCGAGAAATCTGCATTCCTCCAAATATATTACATATCTGTAGTACTAACGGGTAAATGTTTTTACACTACGAGTTACTGCACTTCGAAAATTGGGGTGAGTGGTTGATTGGCGTTATTGGTTGAGATGAATTAAATTATTGTGGATATGTCTCACAATCAGCAATTGATTTGTACTAGTGATAACAATTCTTTAAAATAAGTCGAAGTCACGTCCGCTTCAGATTTCGACAATTCATATTTCCAAATGAATCCGTTCTATGGAGCTCTTTGTTCCTTCAGATTTTTCCTGCTTCTTGATATCAACTAACAACCGGTAGTATATTGATTCAATAATATTTCTTCGTTTCTCTCAGCCACGAGAAGTGCCTTAAAGAATGAATCCATAATTGGATGCAGTATATTCTGTTCATGAAGCATATTCAAGTTTTTGATTCAGTTGCGGGAAGAGTGCATTCAGATCGAATACTCTCTATAAGATGTCAATAGAAACAGAAGCAGTAGCAAAATGTTTGATCAACTTATTCAGTGATTAGCAACTACTGCACATAATCAGCCTTTTTAATGAAACAATCTTGTCTTACTCATTTCGCATGAGCAGTGATTGTTCAAGTGAGAACGAGTTATATTGAATTAGGCAATTTACGAAAAATTAGTTGCTGTTTGATTCGAGTGAATTGATGACAGGTCTTAGAAAGCACCCTAAACACAAACTATGAGATGTTCAAAAATAATGGTGATGTTGCTTTAAGTGTCGAAATCAGGAGATATTTTGTCTATGAAATGGACGCATTATTGAATCCACTGGTGATGGCTTATTTATCGGTTGTAATAACGTGTGCAGTGGCGGGTATTGTGATAATCGTTAACGGAGTTTTATTGTGTGCACTCGAACATGGTGAAATTACAATCGAAATCGCAAGATGTGAGGAGAAATTCGTTTGCGCCATAAAGGCAGCAAAATTTGCCGCGGTACTGAATCTCGAGAACAGTTTATCAGTTCGATATTATGCATTTTGTTTTGATGTTAAAAACATGGGGAAGATTTGGAGTAAGATTCTGAGAATGAGATTGCGTCATTTCTACTGAATGTAGTAGAAAACTGACGATGAACAATTGAAAATTTTCTCATCGAAGCGAATCAACAAAAATTGTTGTCACTTTCCGAAAACATCGGATGAATGTCGATCGAATCAGTCTTGTAAGCCGCAATAAATTCAGCAATCTGAAACACATTTGGATCAGATGATTTTTTATCAACTGAAAAACTCGAAAGATTTTGCGCTGTATCATTTCAGCTTCCAATGGCAGCAGTTGTTACAATTTCTGAAATTAGCGGTCTTTCAATGGATCAAGTATGGGCCGTTTCATCTTTCGAAGCTTCTTTTGAAAATTCCCGACTTTCATGTTTAGCCTCTCCTTATTCCATATGAACAAACCGTCACGTTTGTCATCAAATTTTGTACTTTCTTTTCTTGTAACATAAACTTCCAGAATTTTGCCTTTAAATCGTCAGAAACAAATGCTAAATTTGCTTACAATTTCTAATCACCTCCAAAGCAATAATTTGAGGTAAAGGTAACCGACTACTCCATAAATCAACTGATCACATATAAAACATCAGATTGTTCCTCCAGACTCCGATCAGTTGTCTTCATTTGTAAATGATCACAAAAAGTGTACACAATTAAGGTTGTTGGTGAGTACGATAAGGATTCAATGGAAAGAAGAGCGATTATATATTCGGTAATTGGAAATGACCGATTGACGAAAGATTTCATCGAAAGTTGTCCTAAATTCCTGCAAGGTGGCTATAAGGATGAGGCGCTTTTACTTAAGGATAAATTATGATATCAAAAAATACACGCAACATTCGTTGTTTTATCGTGCAATTATGGAAATATTTTCCAAGTGTTCCATTGGCGAAATGAGCTTCGAATCGTTCGATGCTTCATGAAACTTATGAATCAACTCCATCATAAACCATTGCAGTATCTCAAATTGTGATCAATTCATTTGAATTCATTTCATTCGACTCTATCAATGTTATCTTCGTTTATTTTTTGCGCAAGATCCGATTCATAGGAATTGGTATCTTGAAATTAAAAAGTTCACATCTGTGTTGTTGATAGAAATTCGTAAGCTGAAAGATGAGTAACAGTATTGAAGCATTTCCATTATGCAGAATACTTTTTGCGATGTCCAAGTGGAATGTTATTAATCAGCGTAGTGAAATTTCAGTTCATACATTAGCTGAATGTTCATGGTATAGTAATGTTCATGTTTCTCATTTCTTTCCGTCCAAATGATTTTACTGGCCAACGAGTCCGAATCATTTTAGAATGTACCGAAAACCGTTGAATTCAATTGTTAGTATCAACAGAGCGTTCGTAGCATCCTCGCGTCCACCGTGTTTTCCGAGTGCGTTACCTTGATATGTTTTCGAGCTGTGTCATTCTTATCCATATCATAAAATTGTTATTGTATCCTAGTGAATTAAAATGTTTCCGCTTATTCAAGCCAGTCATTCATCGTTGATTGTGCGGAGTGAGATGGCACATAATGAACGAGAGTGGGTGTGGAACGAGCAACTTTCAATCGTTTTGTTACCACTCCTTTATTGACTTCTGTCGCAATTGATTCTGTCAGAATTGTGGCACAACAGTTTCCGATTACGTTCACGTATCAGGAAATTGCGAAGACCCTTCAAGGGAGGGGCTTATTGCAATCAGCTATGTAGCAACAGTTACTATTTCAATATTATTTAATTCAATAAATCCCCTAGAATCACATCATTTATCAGAAGAGAAATGTTATGTTACGCTTTTATACTGCTAACACTGATCGCTTGTCAAATTCCTCGAAGTCAACAGTGGGTGTCTTCTGTCATTATTTGATCAATTTTTATCCAGCTAATAGCCGTGAAAAATTTATTGCTTTCTCTGGAAAGTTGAACTCCTAAATGGATAGTGATCATGCCGATCGATTGAAGATTTCTGGAAGAATCAGAAAATAGTTCAGAAAACTTTTTTTCTTGATTTTGTGACGATGATCGTTCGAGATCAATTGTGTGTTGCAGGAAAGCTATAGCGATCAGTGACATACGTGACAATGAGCCATTATTTAATTCATTATCATCTTTGAGGTGAAGTTTATGTTTATTTATTTATTGCATTGCATAACTGCTTGGGGAACTTGTTATCATCCAATGTAAACCACAACTCATAGGTTCGTAATGTGAAGAAGATGCTTACTTCGATGCATTGATTGAGTTTTTAGCAATCTCTATAAGAAGCGTACTGCAGTGAACCAAGCGGTGGACAGATTTCGTGATATGTTAAGAGACGTGAAGAGAAAAGGTTTGCAGTCTGTAATCGTTTCTTAATTTGATTCCGCTTAATCGTTTTTTTTTTCATTTTTTCACGTTAATTTGTAACTGTTCAAGTGCATGGATTTGGGTTGAGGGAAATAAGCTACACAAAAAAACCACTACTCAACCTCAACCTAAGTGAGCTTGAGTAAACATCAATCAAAGGCTGAATTCATCGACAGCCATGGTACCACCTTCAGGTTCAACATCCTTAAACCTCGGTCAGTGGTTGAAGATCGCTTTTCTGTCCGATAATTTCGACTCAACACATTTTTGACAGCATATTGAATTCGTTGGGCAATAAAATTTTTGAATACTGCATTGATCAAATTATGGAACTGACTTATAGTTAGAATCTCGCCTTTTAAATATTTCACTGACTGGTTTATCACAGCGTCGTTTATAGAGAAATTATTCGCTGTTTGGTAAATAAAAGTAGCATTCATTTGCAATACTATTATACTAGATGATTACTAATATTGTCCAGTGTTTTCGGAGTTGACGTCAAATGGTCGTGGCCTTAGTTAGCGGTAGAAATATTGCTGTTGTTGTCGGGTCATGGTCAGAGTCGTAATTTAGATTTTAGTGAAACGTCAAAAGCGTCCCAACAAGTGGGAGGCTGTCATTTTAAAAAATCATTCTAATAGATAGAGATGTCATTCCATTGTTTGGATGAGATTATAAAATGACAATGATATTCAACAAGCATTCAAGTGATTGCTTGGCTTTTCCGACCGTACCGTCATGCGCTTTTTGTAGCCAATTGCATGCGGTAGTTACTATGGGGATAAAAACTTGTTGTGATGGCACGAGTTATCGCCTTGAAGCAGAGGGAAGCATTTGCGAGAAAGACATTAACTCGTGTTAAATAACTCTTTGTGCTATCGCCTTTTCGGCATTTGTGATCAACATTTCCGTTTCGCACAATAGTGAACAATCCTCGTTCAATCAATCACCGCAGCAGGCGATCCCTTTAAAAGTTTCATAGCATTGACGTTAGCTCTGAAATGATGCCGTGTTCAAGTTTAGTTACGAATATTATGCTATGCGTAAGCTCAGTTCGAAATTAATATGTCACTCAAGGGTTTCATCTGACAGAGACGTAAACAACGCAAAAGGCACAACAATAATCACAGATGCAATTATGCGTCCCTCTACGCTTGCGCTAATTCCACTTATAGCACCTCTGCTCGTTAAGTGAGAGAGCTCAGGCAAAGTTTTGAACCTAGCTATGGCTTGGTTACACCATACTAAATGGAAGTGTCTGGATGGCAAATGATGCTTTACATATGGTCATCCGCGTGTCTTTCCGTTACTTGTAGTGAGTTAAAGAGTCACGTTTGCAGTGCTTTTAAAAAAATTCGCGAATGTAATCAACGACTGTTGAGTAGGCTTATTTCATCTGCGTTGATTGGAGCAATAATAATCATGTTTCATTTTTATGTTTGATGAGGTATCGTAGAAGTTGATGAATAAAAGGGTAATAAATTGCATTAGTTGTGATCATTTGGTTGAGCTAATTTATCGGGAGCCAGCGAATGCGTTCAATAACCAGCTCGTCTAAATTTAGGACTCAACGACTGTTGAGTAGGGCAGAATATTATGTATGCCTTACCAAGTTAGTCTCGGGATTTAAATTTTGTTGTCTTCCAATGAGATATTTTATTATCAGGAATTCTCAATCGATGGTGCTCGCACTCCTAAGGGGAGCGAGCCGTAGATGAGAGATGCGGAGTGGATGTTGTGAGGGGTGTGAGGAAATCATGAATTTTCCTAGGAGATGCGGAGGGGGGGAGGTTGAGGATCACTGTTTTAAATAGAATATGAATGAAATGAATGGGAATGAGTGAATGGGATGACAAGAATGGAAGATGTATCGCTCATATTTCAGAGAATGATGCCGAAATTATGGAAAGTAGTTCACGTTTCGGTAATAAGAACTGTTTCTTCTCATTGGTTCAGTGCAGCTTCTACTACTGAAAAGCTTCTATGCATTAATCAGCATAATCAATCAACAAATCATTAACGCTTCGACAAAACAATTTCATCGCGATCAGTGTTCAATGAATATATTTATGTTTGTCTTATTTGTTAAATGAATAGAAATTGCGATGCGTTCTAAAACTTATCTGTTATTCATTACGGAAGCATCTGTTTGACGTATGCTTATGTTTAATCCCCAAATCATCAGTGTCAACCTGAATCAGATTTCATTTCAAATTAATTAATATCCGATAAACACAACTCACTCATAAACTCAAAAATGACTAATTAAAATATCGGCATCGCAACTAACTTTATTAACAACCATTTGAAGTATTATCGTTGTTATTCTCCATCGATTTCGTTTAATGATGCTTGACTGGCATTACGCTCGAATTATCGCGATGCCATATTCACGTCAAAACCTTCACGAATATGAACATCGTTTACTCAGAACATAGGTCAACAAAGCTGTGAAACACAATTGCTTAGTTGTATTTTCTTGAACTGTTTCGTCAGCCAAACTGCTTACGGACCTGTTCAAGGGCAAATCACAAAAAGACAAGGTAGGTAGGTTCAGGACGATAAAGCGATCGCAGAAGCTTTCAACATTAGTAAGCGGTTTTTTTGTAACAAATTGACAATTCGAATCTTCTCCTTCTCCTCTAGCAGGAATGGCAAAAAAAACAACTGCTTTCATCATAATAAGAGAAAGTCACACAATGCAACTGATCCACTCTCAACATAGAATGAAATTCAGTGAAACGGCGCATAATTATTGTACTATAATCACATTTGGCTGATGTTCATTTGAAATTGCATATTGTCATTATAATCAACGTTGAGCACGTAATAACGATAATGAAAAACGAACAACACATCTAAGAGCGCTCACGCCAATTAGTGAATTTCCTGAATTGATATTGGCTAGAACAGTGGAACCAATTATTGGGAAAGAAATACAAGAAAAAACTGAGGCTTCGAATAAATATCGGCATGAAATATCGGCACGCTCTAATATATTATATATCAAATGACGAAACAACAAAACGTCGCTCGACTTTGCATGTATTACGTTCAATAATTTTAAAAATCGTCTTAAATTAATGCTTACTCGATTACAGCAATCGCTATATTGTTCGCGTTGTTCACTGCTCCTACTGACTACGGTTTTCTTGTTACTGATTGCTAAGAAAACAGTGGTCGGATGAACTGAACTGAGCACGACGTTGAGTACATTGAAGCGATGTAAATCAAATAAGGCTTCCGCAACGATGCTTCGCCTTGCTAACGAGCTGTTCCATTGGTTCCTTTCTTGTAAATACTCCCAACATCTTACAGTTGATTTGCAGTCGAAATGAACGTTTTCTAATAGCTACATATGATCAAAGATCGCTTCTCTTGATGACATTCACAGTAATTCATCCACTGGTTAAACTCATGCATATCACGGCGATCAACACTATCGTATCATGTGTAATCAAACCTGAAACACTACCTAAGCTGTCAGTTGTTTAGTTACCAATGGAAACACTGCGTGTTGCTTGCACTATTTATGTTCTATTGCTACACTGAATCTGGAACGTAATATACACATCATGAACGATACAATTTTCAAGATTACATGTATGCATACATTGAAAAAACAGACGTTTCAACAACAGAAAAAATAGAAAACGTAAAGAACAACACATTAACACATACAATAATACCATTGATTGAGCATTTGATGAGAACAAAGAATACTACTTCATTGCTAATATTTGTGATTCCAAAATTGATTGAACTTTTTTAGAAATGAAATTTTGAATGAATGATAAATTCTCGCAGTCAGTGAATTTCTGACTCCCCAGTTATCTTGAGTGTCTTAAATGCTCTGACGATACTTAATGGAGATGAAATTCTGTTGCATAATACTCGTTTGAAAGTGGAACTTACTTCTCATAAACAATGCAGCATTTCTTCGGGAAAATGGTGCATAATACTGTAAAATTAAATGAATCACACTCACTATCAGTTTCGATGTAAACATATCTCTCACTTCCTATATGTTCAGCGAATTAATCAAAGCATGATATTTAATAACTCAAAATGTACTTGATCTGCCTTGTTGATGTTACTTGATCTGCCGTGCACTGAACTTATCATTCANAACTGTTGTACAAACAATCGACATGAAACATAATGAATACACATTCAAACTTGTATCTCTTCTAATGTAGGACCTGAGTTCGGTGTTCCAACAGTATTGTTACGTCCAGTGGCCAAAGCCATCGCAGCTCGTCCGTGTCTGGGACATGTTGGGCTTACACCTGGCCTTAGTTGGACAGGTGGTCCTTTGCTATTCGATGATAATAAAGGTTCCTTAAATTGTCATCTATTTAACAAAAAGTTCTACGTGTTAGCTTATTTCAAAATTTTGCAAGACAGGTATTGCTACTGATTTTTTGCTTCCAATCGAATACGACCGTCTAAAAGGACACGACCGATTTTTCAGATTATTCGAATAACAAATTCGCTACTAACTAGCAGTAAGACTGTATTAAAAAGCAGTCTAAGAAAACGAATTTCAAGCAAGGATCATTGAGGCATGAGAGAATATTTGAGTGATGCAAGAATTTGTAAGGGTAGATGTTGGAAATATTACAGTATCGACGCTACTTGTGCGTTGATCGATGGTTAAAACTAAGCATCCGTTAATGTAGGATAGCACCCAGTTAACAGAGGCACACGCATTGAAAACAGACAAATTTCACGAGACATCATATGTATTAAAAAACATGTCAATAAGATTTTGATGGATAAGTAACCTGTTCTTGAAAATTAGATCGATTGAGTGTGCTAGTATGTGAATCAGGGTAATTATGGTATGCTGTTGCAGGCCTACAAGCAGTAGGATCATATTCGATCTGTGATGGTATTTCCATATTGTGACCAATTGTTGAATTTGCTATCGAAGGATGATGACTCAATGGGGGCGGTGGTGGAGGGGGCATCGCTGTGAACTGAAATCATTTTCAGAAACACATCTAAACTCAGCTAATGACACAACATCTAACTGCTAAATGCATGCTGAGTTTCCAATACAACATCACTTGATGTTGCCATCCATCACTGATCGGCAATTCGTGGAGTCAGATTACCATCTAGGCATTAGGAACAGATGGCATTCGAAGGTCGTTCTACTGAATGTAATATTGATAGGGATAAGAAATACGAACAAAACAACGAAGAGGTGTATGCATTGAATTTAGTGATAAAATTAATTATTGCTATTGCAGCGAACTCATCAGGAATATTGGAAGTTTCAATTTCAAGGGTTAATGAGAGCATAATTGCAAATGTCGTATTCAAAAGGAGGTTCCATCTTACTTTTTTAGTGGCTGATCAAGAATTTGCTGTCATGTAAAACAGTGATTCAAAATAAATGAAATTAATGTGATAGTCATCACACTACTATGGAATGAATTTCTCTTTATTCAATTGACTATTTCGTTCGAGAGTAGTAAAATTTAGAGAAATGATACTGAACATGACATCGGTAGTGAAAATGGATCGTGAGAGTGAGCAAGAGCGACACCGTACGTTATAAAAAAGTGCAAGGAAGGTATGGTCATTCGGTTAGTTGATATTCGGGAGAATGAATGCATATCGTTTCAAGACAAAGTTTTCACAAAACAATGTGACAAAACCATCCAAAAGACAGGATCAGGATCATTCGAAGAAATACAAAATCATCAAACAAATTCACCTGAGTATTCATTGGTGAATTCAAACTGTAATTGAGTTCACCACCAGGTTGATGATTAGCAGCATACGTTTGATACTGTAATTGTAATTTCTTTTTTGATTCTTCACGTTTATTACACTGAAATATTGCTTAAAATTTTGCTCTTCCATGTAACACTTCATTCAGGTTGTTTTTGCATTGCAACGAGATGAATAAACATAAAATAAAAATGAATTGCGAAGCGAAATGCAATCTTCAGTTGGAATAACCTGTCTGTATAAACCGAATCCAATACAAATGTTCAGAAATAATAATCCACAGCCAACAGCTACCGTAACCGATAGCATTGTGCTGTTTTGAGCAGCGTTAACGATGGGAACTGCAGTAGATGGGGCTTGGGTAGTCACCGGGATTGTCGGTTTTGCTGTAATGCGAGAATAGTAATGATGAATGAGACATTCTTGAGTGTGGAAAGAAGATCACTTTAATTGAAATTTTACTTACTGAATCACTGATATTCAGTTAATTGGCAAGTGCACCCATAAAGTGATCCTATAAGGACGAAAACCGCAATCGAAATAGAAGCTGAAACTTGAAGGGACCATCACTTACGCGTAGTCAGCTTTCTGAGGTCTTTTGGTAGTGGCGTTGGAGGTAAAGGAGGTGGCGGGAATGGATCATTTGCATAGCCGCCGAATGGTCGAACCGTACCAAAAAATGAATCGCGTTTGAAGTGATTCGGTAGAAAATTGTGCTCCTGAAACGAGTTTCCAGCTATTCACTGATTATCGCATTCCACACGGCATTTGAAGCGATGCAATATTCATTATTCGTCACATTGAAATCAGTTGATTAACGTTCGAAGCAATCGCAAATTTGTAGTTGTTTTATAACTAATCGTCCAATATACCTCGGGAACAGGAGCACCTTCTCGTCCACCGTTGTGAAGTTGTGGAACAAATCCGTTCCAGAAACCAACTTGAGCGTTTCGGTAATAATTTTTAACTCGCGGACGATCAGCTGTAGTATCAGATATTGATCAATTATTACATGATTGTATGAAGATAACGGCGATTTAGTAAACTTGATGTTAGTTGATTCGTAAATACAACTCGCTGTAGTAATATGCCTCTTTGATGTCATCAGAGTGCACAATAATCACTCCATTCATTCCCCTCAGAGTAGCGAAATGCCCGTCAAACTATCCCTTCTCTTCAGCTTCTTCTCAGCTATTTATTAAGTGAATTCAAAGATTATTCTAACAATCTTCTCGCGCAATACTATTTGAAATCATGTGTTCAATGCTGATGAAGAATAAGACATAATCTGATCAAAAAAACTGACATATTTCTAAATAAGCCTCTCGATTCGCTTGATTGAACTGTGGCCATGCGGTGCTATGAAATCGCTCTTCGAGAGGATAGTTGGCAGTCAAAGAGACTGGCTTGGATGGATCACTGGAATATTCTGATTATTTCGCGTGTGATGAATTTTGATCGAAAAAACAAATTGATAAACGTAGAAGATGTTGTGTATACGTACTATTGTTCGGTGTATGAGGATGCTCATGGCATCACTAAGAGCGAAGAAAAATGTATGAAACAAATTACAAGTAAAATTTCATTAATTAAGGATTATTAAAGTAAAATCAAGTAAATCAGAAATGAACATAATGAAAACGGAAGAGAAATTCCCATGGATAAGACTCCAATTTTTGCGATGAACAACTCAATTTCCATTCGATACCGTAAGATTGAATGCATCATTCATTAAGGACATTAAGCATCAACACTAAGAGCACACTGACATTTCCAGTCGTCAACAGTTTGTTCATTACGTCATCGATTCAGGAAAGATTAATATTCATTTGAAAAAAAAANAAAAAAAAAGCAAACCCTGATTTCACGAAATTCGAAATGAAGTGCATCATAATACGTGAAACTCCCCTGTCTTCTGCACTGAATCCAGAATACAACTGAAAATATCTTAAAAGCATTTTGGAGATTTGAGGAACAAAAAATAGAGGAAGTATGTGACTGCGTTTATTTATGACGACAGCCATGAGTTAAGTGCTGCTCAGTTAATTGCTTGAAATGTTCTGGAAATACCAAAAAGTGACCATTCCAGCTACCTGTTCCTCTCTGTTCCTATTGCTTAAAGGATACCCCAATATGTATGGAATGTGATCACCGGATATCGAACCGCGTACGCCACTGTTCGGTTGCTCATCCATCCACTGTCGTGTTTCATGTGCAAAGACGAACCTACAACACACCGCTTCTACACTAAAACTTCATTACAGAGCAGCAGCATCTGTGCTGCTGCTATACACTGAGCGTTTCATAATCGAGCGTTGAAGCACCTAATTATTTCATGTGATACGTTCCGATTGCAACACAATATGTTTGAGGGACATATCAGTCTCAACGAACCGAGGTATTTCCTTTTATAGGAATATTTTACCGTTTGTTCGTGGATGTGTCATACAATATGTCAAAGGCAGTTCATCGCTCATTGCCATTTTGTTGGTGATGAATAAATGCATGTTGACGATTCAATGAATACGAATGCACTGAGCACAACTCACATGAATGTGTTCGAATCTCGATGGTTTTCCTCAATGGAATGCAACCGAGCTGTTTCAATTGTAGGAACAGTGAACAGAATGTCACTCAAGGCCGATAAAACACCGTTACGAATCGTCTTGGGATGATCCTCGAAATTCATTGCGACTTTTAATTCTTTACAGAAATTATGCAGTTTTTGGAGAAGTTTCGATATTTTCGAGCAATTTCATATTGATAATCCTATTGCTCAATTTTCCATTCAAAATGACTCCACTGCACTTTACTCACACCTCAGATCAACTGACCTAGGCACTCAACGTGTGCATTAAAAAGAAAGTAGAATTCAATCCCGAATTCTCGTAGAAGAAATTGAGTTCACAAATTTCCCCCCTGAAGACTCGAGTGGAACAAATTTGCTAACTGATGTGTTTGAGGATATAATTAGGGTTCTGAAAAGAGAGTAAAGAAGCCTGAAAAGGAACCTTTGGATTTTCCCAGTCGGTATATTCGTTGATTATTGCGGCAAGAATCTCGGTTCGGTGGTAATCATATAGATTCCGGACCAATGTCCTGTAATGTCATACGTCATCCAGGTCATGCATTAATCACATAAAAAGGGATTTTCATACGAATGCATCATATCAAGTGACGACGACTGTCATGCAAACTAATCGAAACCTATGTTAACTAAACAATCTGACTTCCGTATCGTTATTAACAATTCTAATTTCATCTTCAAATATTTGCGTTATTGATATTTGTGACTATCCGAAAAGACATACAAATACATCTGACAAAGTGAAGAAGTACTCTAAATATATCAGTCGTTTACAGAAAACATTTTGTACTAGAGATAATACCCATTCGCTCATAGTCATGTATGCAAGTGAGCTGCGAAAACAAAATTATTGTTTTGCCTCATTTTATACAATAGCCGCGTGCATTGCATTAGCCATGTGAAGAGTTGATGTATTTTCATGGAATTCAGCACAGCAACGTTCAGAACGTGGACGTGAGAACAACACTTATACAGCTTGCTTATGATTAAGACATAGCGATGAGAAATTGCACAATTCCGATGTTTCTAACGAGCGAATTCTTTCTGGTGTAAAAATCTCTTTTCGAACGCTGGTTTTGGCTGCCGAAGTCCGGTTGCTGTTCGCCACTGTTCATCTTTCAAGTACACTGTGATATTCTTGTGAGAAAAAATTCTGGTTGTGGAGATGAAATGTGACTGTATTATTAGAAGTCAGTCTCACCTGAATATTTTCTCACGTCTTTCTTTGGTAATGCCATGTCGAAGATCATCATTGGAAAGAAGGTGATGAGCAGGATTTGATGTGACCCCAACAAGTAAATCAATATCTCGGAACAGTGATCCAAACTGGGCACCGAATAGAGCCAATGGCCTATTTGGAACCATCTAAAGTTTCAATGCATATAATGCGTCGGAATGAAATCAATAAATCTCAGATAGATAGGTGAACTGAAAGTCGTTCGGTGCTTCGGAAGCATCGAGCTACTTTCACTTCATCCATCTATCAGAGATTCACTGATTTCAACTGACTAGTCGAACATATATCAAGTAACTGATGACATCTTGATCCCATAGAACGGTAAGATATTACAAAAAAAACTAGTAAAATGAATGAGCATGAAGTGATGAATAATATGGATTGATCAAGAAGGATGTTTTGCAGGACACAGAAACTTAACTGTCCATCAACAATAGGCGCGAATGCAGACAGAAACGTTGGAACTAGAATTTTATGTGCGGCATTGGTAACGTTATGTGGTCCGTGATCTTGCATACACCTCACAATCGAGTCGATGTTCCTTTGATGACGCGAACCGCGCTTCCTCTCCGCAATTGTTTCAACACACTGAAAAGCACATCAGTGACGAACGATCCTGATCAAATATCTCTCATACAAGCAGCAATACCTTCAAATGTTCGGCGAGTTGGTAGAAGAAAGGCTGAGGATTATTTGTCATTGCCCACGGTGCAAGCGCAGATCCATCGAGAAGAATCGCTCTTCGAAACAAACGATTGTTTGGCTGTGTGATCGGTGAAGCCATCAGTAAGGACACCTGAAATACCCATCAGTTATTAATAGCAGTACCCACCATTATTAATTGTGAATTCACCTATCAAACCAGAACTCTCAATATTGATTACTTGTCTTTTTCGCATTTTCTGCTATGCTAATGAAAGTGACGGTTGTTTGGCAACTGAAAATGATGAGTCAGTTGCCAGGTGGAAGACCTCTGAGAAACGCATTGTCCAGCTATTCAAACAAAATCTATGGATGACATTCTTTTCCATGTTCTCAATTAAAACGATTGTGATGAATGATGTTGCTGTGAATGCCAATTTATTTTCATCGGAAATAATGACACATTTTATAGCGTTCGAAATTTGTTATGAGATCGGTGCGCCTCGATGACGAATATTAAAATAAAATTCATTGACCACACTTCTCAGTCCAATTCAATTTTGCACATTATTCGTTGCCGCTCGAGCAAATTTCAACTATTTTTTAAACATCGAAGCAACCCATTTTGGAACATCTCTCTGATTTAACGTTTTCTCATTAATGAGCTTGATTTTCGTAAAAACAAGGAATGATCAGATTTTTTAAACTGATTTCATATCTAAAGAATCACTCCATCAATCGCTCATAACAAATCAACTATGTTAAATATAATCATCAGATTTTACTTGCGCATTTAACACCAGCAGGGACGTGATGAGAATGAGGAGCGTTAATGATATTTCGGAAGGCGATCAAGTTCAAAATGAAGTGCGTAGTTGAGTCCATAGTAAAGTCAGTGGCCATTGTTATCTCGAATATGCATTCTGGCATTACGTACACTCAGTTTATTTTCTCAACTAGTTCATGCGATGCAATAATGATGATGCTTGAATGGTAACACGAAAAAATAACGGACCAATGCCGATCCTGAACCCCAACCAAGAAGCGTTACTGATGACGAGTCACCGCCGAATGCTGGTAGCGTATTGCTCAGCATTTTTAGCGCAGCAACCAAATCCGAGAGACCTGAATTCCCCGAACAACTACTTGCTTCACATCGTCCAAGGAAACCTGGTAATGAGAGGACGCCAATACTGTTGTTCGAATATTTAGTTTTTCAATTATTTCGTTGCTTTGTAAATGGGCGAAAAACTGAGGCGATTCTCGCTTGATTAAGCGCGTTAATATGATGAGTCTTTTTTTCCATTCCGACTGGAGCCGTTAAAATTCCGTTAGTCTCATCCTCTCCTCTGGACAAATTTTGTCTAACAAATTTTTCAGTGCAAAAATGAAGCCAATTAAACGCAATGAAATAACGTTCCAAATCATTTTTTTGGTAAACAGTTTAGGATGAGCATTCGATCCTTTGATGATCATATGCGAATTTATATCAATGAATTGCGTCGTGTCGATTTTCGATCCATAAATTAACTTTTGCATGCGAAAGCGACAGAAAAAATTAATGGAAAAATTCATTCTAGAGCGGCTTCTACAAACGAAACGAATGTGTTTAAGATAATAGCGTCAAATAAATATGCGATGAGAATTACAACATGATTGCTTTAGCAATTGAAAAAGCCGCGAATATGATGTCTAAGATTCGTGTAACTCAAAAAAGATAAGAGATAAAGCTGCAATAAATACCAAACACTCCGAGACGGTAATTGAGCGTGACAACAATGATCTGTCCACTAGATGCAATTATTGTGCCATTGTACGGATTACCGCTATTCCATCCGTACTCATCCCCATGAACAATCACCAGTACCGGTAACTGCGTTCTGCTCGGTTCTACAAATCGCTTCAGTCTTAAGCAGTTAAAATCAATTCCGTGTTCAAATGAGTTTGGCAGGAGATGAATGTAAAGCAGAACATAAACTATGAAACGAACCAATTCGTTCAGGTACAAACAAATTCATATAAAGACAATCCTCGGATTGGGGCTTCAACCTCAGCAGAAGTCTATGCATATGATCATAGCGTTGTGCAGATGTCATCTTCAAAGCTCTAAAAATATCCACTTTAAAATTATAGATATACTTTTTCACCCACAGTCAACGTTGTTTCTAAGTATCACAGAGCAAAACGAATTCAATGAATGATTTGATCACGAAACTGTACTCATTCTACGGGACATGAATGATGATCGCTATCGTCAGCAGTTCACATAAAAATAGCACGAGAAAAGGTTAACAGGTGATCACATGTTACCAAATTGTTCACAAATGACTTCGGATGAAACTGAATTATAAGAGGATTTCGATGTATCGACAGGACGAAAGTTGTCAACGCAGAAAATAATTACTTCGCTTCAGACAATTCAGGTATCCCCGATTGAATGCACACCGGTGAAAGTTTGTTTGCATCCTTTGGTAAATGCGTCCATTTAGCTGCCGATATGGCCATATTGAAGCGATACTGCAAATGCGGCACACATCAGGTTTTCATTTGTACTATGAACTTCTTGTGCAAATTCATCGTCTGCTGCATCATATTCAATGATTATGGTCACATTCATAAAATTTGACTGAAAATGCTGTCTCCTCTTGCTTCCAGATCATCTTTGATCCAAAACGAAATGAAGAATGTATAAAGGCTTTACGAAGCTGTCGTCAGCAACAAATGTCTTTTGCAAACAAATTATAAATTCCGTTGTAAACTGGTACTCGATTCGTAAAGATGTGTTCAAATACGGCGGATCTATCATCCAGCTCACTCATTCAACGATTTCTCTTATAATTTCTCCATTACTTTTGAAATATGCTGTCGTTTTGTAGAGGAATGTGCTGCAAAATGCATCATGTAATATACGAATTACCTGTCCAGAAGGAGCAACCCCGTATGGCACACCAAGATACTGCGTGACCGGTGAGAGATCACCAACATCTGGACTTACAGTTTCACCTCGTAGCACTCCGAATGTCGTCGTTACAGTCCTCATTCCAGAGTGACTTCTCAAATAAATTCAAACATTCTCTTTTTTTNTTTTTTTCTTCTCAGATCATGATCCATGCTACTTGCGAGCGACACATCATATTGATGGCTTTGCATGACACTCTATATACAAAACAATTTTGATAATGAATTGTTTATACGAAATGATATTCATGCGTTATCTGTTTGAAGTCTCCAACTTTACACACAATTCTTACTCCCTTCATTCAGAAATATTGTTTTCCTAAAAAAAATTTGAAACAAAGAGACTCAATGCCGAAACTGCTGAAATATAGTATCAGATCATTTCCAGTGATCTTAAACAAAGCAAACGTACGGAACTTATTGAGGTACAAACCTCGAAGTTGTGAACAGAAAACAAGTTGCTATCAAAACAAGGCGAGACCAATGTTCACGATTCATCTTGGAATGAATATTCGATCAATCTTCCGTTGTAATGCTCGCGTATTCAAGAAACTGTACATTTACCGGAAGAAAGCGCGTCACCAACACTGCGCATTCTCTGAAATCTTTTTGCGATAATCACATGACAACAACATGAAAACTTCGAATGTCGATGAACAATGAACATCCTCTCATCGTTGCCATCTGAAATGAATAGCAATGATGATTAGAGCCATAAAAGATGCGTGTAGTTCCCAATAAGTTATCAAGCACATTCTTGGAAATAGCACTTTAATGATATCACTTTAATGATTCAATACATAATCACATTTGGCACGTAATTGCTCAAAACTGTTACTCGAATATTGCCAAGAAACTGCAAAATGATTTGATTTGTCGCGCAGTAGTAGTGATGATTCTACTTGGTATATTCCGAGTTTTTCACATTGAATCTTTTTTTTTTCTTACAATATCATTGAATAAATTGTTCAGTTCATTATTTTCTAGTAGGAGTTACCTCGTTTTTTGGATAGACCGAAATCATAAAGTTTAATTTTCAACTGAATGTCACATTACTTTTTCAGATGCTGTACGTCCCGAATCATTATCAAAGTATTTACAAGTGATATTCACTATAAGATCTGCAACTCTGAAGATGGCTGTTCATAGACAATTTCAGTCGAAAAAGCTTAGCTTCAAATTAGCTTTAACTATAGCAGAATGGTGGACGATGTTTAATCATCGGTAAATAACGCTGAAATATAAATATTCCCACCACGAGCGAATCAGATAGCCTGTGGGTTTTGATGTTTATGGATGATAACTTGCAAAGATGGAGTACGTAAGCAGAAGTTGGGATTATATAAGTGAGGTTGCATCACTAAAACGCATGAAATGACATAATTTGATCGAGTAGCACTGTTCGATTAATGTAATTTGATTACACTGCCACCATTAATTAATATGTGATTGCTTTTATGAGTGACTGTGAAATAAATATTCATTTATACTTATTGATCAGATAGTTCGCATTGATTATTATCTTGCATCATACCCAAAATAACACACAAAATTGTATGTTATATTGATAACGCTAATAAAGTGTTCGAAAATTTAATCATCCAGCAAACGCATAATTAGCAGATTGTACTTTTGTTTCTCTCTTCATAAACGATTCATTCAGCTGTTTGAAATATATGTCTTATCCAATATGCAGAAATGGACTTGAGTTTAACAACGAGGAACGAAATTTTCAGTTAATAAAATTCTTAAATATCAGTGTTGGGCGCACTATCGAAAAACGAAGTGCGCAATCGCTATTCCACTATTGCTACTCAGCTATTCCGCGTCAATAGCGGAATAACGCGCTATTATCCCAACACTGTCAAATATTCTTTCTGGAAGACCTTAAGAAATAATGTTGAATGCATTCTAAGCAATGTGAGTAGTGAGATGCAGCGTTTTAAAATCGTTGAAATCGTTTGACTATCGCTTGAACAGCAACTCTGTGGCTGTCATCTTGTTTTTCACATTCCCAATTCGATTTCTTCATTGTAAGGTTAACGACTGGATCCATCGATTCTCAAATTCAGAGTGCTTGGCTATGATGAATACACTTTTATTCAACAATGCTGTTCGGAACTAGAGTTTTTTTTAAATCGAGGAATCAAATTCCTATTCCTGCTGATCTCTATTGTTCCACACCTCGTTGTTATTATAAACGGATCTTGCTCAGTCTGAGAATGACACGAAAATTCTCTTTTTTTCAGTTCATGATCGAAACGTTTCCCATTCGGAATTTCTCATAGTAGCCAATATATACGACACACATTGATTAGTGATGGGCAGTGGGCACAACGTGCTAATGCGTTAGCATGTAAACGTTGTCATGCACACAAGTGTTCGTGATGCCATGTAATGCATCAACGATTTGTTATTCGACATGATGCAAATTGATGAAGAAGTGAGTTCGTTCGGCTGCGTTGCTCATATAAAAGTAACTATATTCTCTGTTCGTCATTAGTGTTAATCATCAATCACACTGAAGTACTTTATATGCAGATTCACATGGCTGTTTTATGTGAATTTGCATACATTATCAAATGAGGTCTTATAATACTTCAGAAATCATCATTACATTAAGTCAATCGAATGTGTTTCTTATTTAGTTAGTTAGTTATGACTGTGATCATTTATTGATGATTGCCTATTCAATTCAGTCTTATAATGAGCAACTTGTGATGTTATGATAAAAGTCGTGTAAGGTGCAGCTTCGCTGAGTAAGCATAGAGGACATTATTGGTTGATTAGAACTGATTCTGAATGGAGACATCCTAAAATGGAACCGCATTAAGATTCACAGTTGTTTGATGGAATATTTACATCACGCTGTGAAGGTGCATGCCTTCAAATACGTACATTTTTTCTATTGCAGTTTTAGAGTGTCAAATACATTCCAGAGCTCAATGATTATTCACCAGTTTAGAAACATTCGAACAACACATGCAAGAAANAAATCCGAAATTTCTCCTCATTTACATGCATATATAGTGTTTGGTCAATTATGTGCGTAATCAAGTACAAGTACAAATCCAAGTAGTATTCGTTATCGAGCGAACATTTTCCGATTGAGCATCTAAATTTTCCTGCAGCAATCCGTTTTTCTAAAGATATTTTATGCATTCTTAAGGGAACATACGTAAACAAGTTATTGCGTTGTCATACATTTTGATGAATAAGACAGTGTTTTTCAAATCTCAAAGATTATGTCATCGGGATAACTGAAAAGAAATCAATTTAAAATCACTGAGAATCTTCGACCACAATACTGAGAATCTTCCTTTCTTTATCAACAATTTACGTTTAACATGTAGATCGCAACGAAATAATTCTCCTAAAACAAAAGAAATATTCATTAGTCTCCTGCTAGCTATACCGATACATACCAGTGATTCTCTACGAGAACATATTTCATAGATTCGAACAATAATGAAAATTTGATTAGGAAACCAGAGTCGATATTATCATTTACCGGAGATCAACAGCACGAATGAGTTTCATTGCATTCATAAAACTAAGTGCTACTCAAAATTTTTATATCACAGAATGAACCAATGGTATCAATGTTACCGGGCATTAATGCAGTAATTTCATCGAGTCAATCTATGATATTCTAAACAATAACATCGACTCATCAATGAAATAGTATGACTGGAAAAATATTGAGGGGAGATGAATATATGGAACGAAGCTAATATTACAGATGCATCTTCAGTGATAAATCACAGCAGTCAGTCTTATTTCGGCCGGCTGGTAATAAAGGGAGTCAGTGCCAAGAATGTGGACAGATCCAATTCAACACATAAAAAGCGTAAATCCGTTGAATATTCGAACGAAAAATTATTCCTTGAGATGTGCTCAATCGATAAATACTTTTTATGCTATCATTGTGAGCAGTTTCTCATCCAAACACTGCTATCAATACCGTAAACGACAGTATCTATCAAGCAACGTTTTCCAATCGCACATTTTATTAATTGCACGACATCCAAAAGAACTTTGCGCTTCACAACGAATGCTTCAAAAAACTTCTCATCCCCATCATGACATATTACAAATCTGTGATAATGTCATGTACGGTATAATTTTTGGAATAGATTTAGATTCGTTTAAATTATAATAAGTGATCGATAAATCAATGATTCTTTTGAAGACTTATGACTTGCTCTGCTAATATTAAACGGTGTGCAAAGAAGAAAAACTATGATATTCACGATATTATTGGCAATAGTATATCTGTTATTATCGATAATATCAGACACAAGCCATAATGAATTTGATGACTGATCGAATGAAGAAATTAATTATTAAATAGTTATGGTGGGTCATCCAACAATTTTTCTTCACACTAACATTTGTCAATTGTTGAATTTGAACCACTTAAAAGTATAATCTGATTGCAATGACGACACCATCCAGTTGCACAATCGAATGCAATACATGAACAGTTACAAGAATTTTCTGAACAGTAAAAACAAAAGTATTTGTATTTATCTTAACAATAAAACGTTGTAATTATTGCTCTACAAATACAACAAATACTTTTTTTCAATTGTATCCAAAATGTTTATTCATTGTGATTTTTTCAAAATGTATTTAGAAATTGTCAAGCAAGAGGGCGTCATTTTTCCATCGGAATTTTGCAAAAAAAAGCTTGTGAAGTGAGAACAAGTGAAAAGTGTACAGTAATCAACCGTGACGATTAGGCAATGTGAATATGATGCAAGTTGCCATCAAACAACCAACCAAAATTCATACATCTAACACTGAAATACGACGGCGTCGTGCAAAAAATACAGTTGATTGCGAGAAACAAAAGCAACGTTTGTGACGGAATTTGGATAACACATGTATATATTTATCTAAGAATGAAGCATCCACGCTAGAAAACAGAATTATTGAAGAGACATTCATTTATTGAATATTGACTGTATATTATCGGAGCATAATATTTTCGAAGAGAAAATGAAATTGTGTTGCATTAAACAAACACGTTTACAGCGAAGGATTCGTTCGAATATGAGCAAATATCGTAGAAAAAATCATCTTCGCTTC